TGTGAGGACACAGGAGGAGGGACCACGAGTCACCATCCCCTTTGCAGGTTTTAGCATCTCACAGAGTCACAGAATGTGCTGAGTTGGGAGGGACCCACAAGGATCATCCAGTCCAGCTCCTAATCCTGTTCAGGCCCATTCCCAAGAGTCACCCCCTGTGCCCCAGCGGATCATCCAAAACCTCCTGGAGCTCTGGCAGCCTTGGGGCTGTGACAGGGAGCCTGTTCAGTGCCCAACTGCCCTCTGGGGGAAGAACCTTTGGTTAAAACTTGCTGTTAATAACGCCAAAGTCATGGATTCAATCCATTGTATGGGCCACTCACTTAAGAGCAGGATTCAATGATCCCTGTGGGTCCTTTCTAACTCAGAATATTCTGTGATTCTGTGTAGTATCAAACCTAAACCTCCCCTGACAGAACTTCAGGCCCCAGCATTGAGGTGGGGCTCCAGGGCAGAGCAGAGCGGGACAATCCCCTCCCTGCTGCCCCCAGCACAGGGATGTCCCTCCTGGCTGCCAGGGCACTGCTGACTCAGGGACAACTGGCACCCACCAGCACCCCCAGGGCCCTTTCCTGGCACTGCTCTCCAGCCTCTCATTCCCAGTCTGTCCATCCATCCAGGGTTGCCCCATCCCAGGGGCAGGATCTGGCACTTCTCCTGGTTGAACTTCCCCTGGTTGGAAGCAGCTGAGGTTGAACAGGCAGGAGAAGAGACCACCAGTGACACCAGTGACATCCACCTGGGCAAAGAGAAGGTGCCCTCCCTGCACACACCCCTCATCCACGAGGGCCATAGCTCTGCTGACCTGTGAGGTGCTGATGCTATTGGTGATTCCCCAGAAGAGAACAAGATGATCTTTTTTATTAGGAGCAACTGGTATGAGCTTCATCTTTTGAGAACAAGTCCCTGTAGTGGGTGTTCTTCAGGCCTCTCCTCAGTGGGTGCTGTGTTGACAGGCTTCTCTGAGGAGCCACCCAGCAGGTGCTGAGACAGTGGGGGAGAACTGGGCAGGCAATGGGAAGGGTGGGAAACCACAGCACCAGGGGGTCTGGGAGATTTTGCTCTTGCAGGAAGGGTGAAAGAGCACAAAGTTTGTGTCTGGCTGGAGTGAGGCTTGGGGAGAGAGGTGCCTGATGGGGAAGTTGATTAAGATGCAGAGCAGTGAGGACAAATATGTCAAATTTGAATCTAAAATTAGCACTGGGGGCCTAAAATTAAACACCTTTAATTATCAGATGTGCGCAATAGTCAAACTGCTGCTGATTTGAAACCAGAGTGTGGATATTCAGCACCACTGGAAATCATGCCAGTATGTTCCATCTTGAATATGGATTTAAAAGCCTGAACTTTACATTCACCCATGGAAATGCTCAGTCTTGGGGCTGAGGAAGCGACGAGTCTCTCTCCCTCAGGTGTGTCATCTCCAGATGTGCTGCTGGTGCTTGGAGTTGATCCACTGGGGAGAGGAGGGTTTTGATCACTGGGTATGACCTGGTTGTGCCCTGGGCCTGAGCACTGGTGCTCAGCAGCACCATTCTCCAGAGTCCTGTAGCTTGGATGGCATGACAATTAATGATGAGTTTGTGTTTCTATAGATTGGGCACTGTGGCCTCA